TTGCTCAGTACCGTACCGGGAGTACCGTAACTTGGTGCCAGGTACGATACTGGAGGGGCTCAAGACCCATTTTTATTTTCAGGTACGGTACTCAGTATTGTACCTGACACACAGTTACGGCACTGGGTACTGCTTTGGACTAGTACCGGGAACCCAGGTACTGTACCGTACCGTACCTGTTTCTGAATGGTACTGAAGCACCAAGGGACTTGATAGCCTTTGTCCTTCTTGTCAAGTGGCACCACTGACACAATTTTGTTTGTTACTATTCTTATTTTTGTTTATCACTTTCAACATGTTCTTTTGGTCTTCTTTTGATTTTTGGTCAATACAATGGCTGCTTTGTCACAGTACCAAAGAGGTACTTGCCACAGTACCAAAGAGGTACTTGCCACAGTACCGAGTAGTACCTGCCTAGGTACGACACTGTACCGTACCAGCATTTGCCAATCAGGTACCGGTACAGTACCGTACCTACCTCTTGAAAGGGGTACGGTACTGGCCTTGGAGGCATAAGGCAATCTCAACCCAGGGTTACGGTACTCAGTACTGTATCTGATCCAGGGTACGGTACTGGGTACTACCTCTTTGCAGTACCGTCTCCTCAGGTACGGTACTGGTATTGCAGGTACAATACCAGTACCGTATCTGTTGCTGCGTTGTCTTTACAGCCTTTGAGCATCAAGATGATGTTTAAAGTTTTGGTCAGTTCACGATATCTCGAGATACAAAGGATGAATAATCGGTTTGGGAGTGAAAAACTGCAGACTAAAGTGAAATATTTGACTGACTCCATGGACCTTTGGAGCCTTTTCTGTTCCAACCGAAGGTGCATTCTATAGCATCAGCAGCTACAAACATATGAGACCCGAGATCAGCGGCAAGTATAAAAAGGAGCAAAAGCTGAAAGATGGGCATTGATCGATTCCAAGACATATCTCAGAGAACAAAACGTAAATCTGTTTCACAAGTTAAAGAGCGACTGAAAGTTTGAATTCTTGCTGAAGTTAACAGCAGAGAAGCAAATAGACAACAAGTCTAGTAAAAGCAGATAGGGTCTATAAGAAATCATGTTCCGTTATCAAAAGTGCTTTTATATAGCCAACACATTTCAATGTCGAATGTCACTGTTCTGTCTTAATCCTTATCCATTATAAACAGTCAGGCTATACCTTTAGCCACGGGTTTGTGGTCAGCCACCCTTTGCTGAAGAACAGCCACAGGTTCTCACTTTGACTTGATGCTAGACATACATATATGACATAGACACTATGGTGTTCGATATGTAGCCGGAACAGGCCGGAACCATGCAATAGACTTTTGGAAAAGAGTTTGTGCTCAGTTGACAGAAATAGGGTCAATTCAACATCTCGTGTGGCCAAGGCAAGGCGTACTGAAGGAGATGACTGATGGAATGGAATAATGGTCGAATGATTGGGCTTCATTCAGTGAACTTCTCAACATTTGTTACAATGAGGGGACATGCGATATCCTACAAGCTCTTTTTGCTTCATCATGGAACAACACGCTTTTATTCTCCGGGTCATCTTGGACTCCGCCTACTTTTTCCATGTTGATACTTACCTGAACTTTTTGAGACTCTGATCATCAAGATTAATTTACTCTTGGGTTCAACTTTTAGAGTATCAATTTTTTTCCAATTTCCTTTCTCTGGTGTTTTTTTTGTTTCACATTTCTTCATGGTGTTGTATTTATTTTGATAGAAATCAGCTCAAATTGATTTTTATCTTACATACATTAGAAGTGTGCTATCAAGTTCCAAGCTCAGGTCCACATCAAGAACATCACACAAACATCCCCGGTAGCTCATTACTCCGAGTGTTTCTCAAACTAACCTGATATGTATGTACAATCAAGATGTCGGCGCGAGGCCTGCTGGCGCGCCGGGCGCGGCGCGATGCGGCGCGCCAACTGATTTTCAAAAACGGGCTGGCGCGCCAGTCCTGGATAATTAGGCTGGGGTTGAGTCTTGGGGGAAGCTTCTGGAAGCTTGATACAAAAAAGACGACCACAAATAGATTTTTGGCTCATTCATCAATTGCAAATCCAAGAACATCACCAGCTTCGACTATATATCATGTCCAATAATCAAAAGTGGATCAAACCAACTGATAGAAATGGCTCCCGATGGTGGGGCTTTCTCATGTCTGATAGCTTGGATCCATCAGCTCATCGACGTCAAGCCCAATGCACACACTGCAAGGAGGTTATACAAGGCAGGCCGGAACTTCTTTACAAACATATTGATGAACAATGCAGTTCAATATCAACTTCAGACAAATCCACCTACTACCAGGGCTACACATCCGAGATGAAACTCAAGAAACGAAAAGAAAATCCAATTGAAGAAAGTCGGTCAAATGAAATCATTTCTCAAGATGGGATACACTCGCCTAACACCATCAAAGTCACGATACCACCTAAGTCATTTCATATGGGGACACTCCATCATTTCACGGTATTGGATGAATGCAAAACCGATGAGCTTCATGTCCTTCTAATGAAAGCACTGATCACTGGTCACATTCCTCTGGGGTTCCTCTCTAACCCTTTTTTTATGCAATACCAAGAAGCTCTTGCTCGTACACCATACAAGTTACCTACCCGACACTCAATGATGACAAAGATACTCCCATTTTTGCATTCCGAGAATCACCTCCGAATGGAAAAACAGCTTCAAACCGAGAAGAACCTTACTGTATCTTTGGATGGCTGGTCTGACACATCCAAAAACAGTGTCTATGCGGTAATGCTTTTGAAAGGGACCTCGGTCAAAGAGTTTGTTGACATCCTCGATCTCCATTCGCGTCGACACACAACTTTGAACATCCACTCAGCTCTGAAGAAAAGCTTCAATAACCTTGATATAAAATGGTCCTCCATCACAGCAATTGTTACTGACTCACCTAGCTCAATGATTTCCCTTCGAGTGAGTTTTCCATTGATCTTTGATCATCTCCCCGTTCTGATTTTGATTTGTTAATCTTCCAGCGAACAATCACAACCGAGAATCCGCATATCATCAATGTAAACTGCTGCTTACATGTCTTCAACTTGATTGTAAAGGACATTGTAAAGCATCCTCTTATGTCAGCAGTAGTAAACGGAAATCAGGAGCTTGTGAAATACTTCAATCAATCTTATTTTTACTCGGAACATCTTGAACAATGGAGGGCGCAAAACAATGTACCTCGTGGCCTTGCTACGTTCTGTGATACCAGATGGTTTTCACTATCAAAGGTCTGTCTTTCGGTTGCCGAACATGAGCTTGGCTTTCAAAAATGGCTTGAACTCGAAGCCGATCCAACCTCCGATGTCCCCGCCATTCCCGAAAAAATTCGACAATTGATCAACGATCGGGACCATTTCACAGCAAACCTAGCTCTTACCAAGTTTCTCCGATTAGTTGTTGATGCATTGGCTGAACTAGAGCATGCAAACACATGTCTTTCCGACATCTGGTATCAACTGGCTTATGTATACACTGAAATGAGAAAGCTAGAAGTGTATGATCGCTACCACGAATTCAAAGATCACTGCATTCAGATTCTCCACAAGCGGAGTCAAGCTTTTAAAGACAACATCTACATCATCTCACTGTTCCTGATTCCAACTCAAATTCGATTTGCTACACCACGGGGCACCTGGCACGTGAGATTCACGTGAAAAAGGTCTCTGCCACCAAATCACAAGCTGTCCACAGTGTAATACCCATTCTGAGTTACATGTGACAACCAGTGTGAGTAGCTAAAGTGTGATGGCTCACCCGTTCATGGGGTGAGCGATCATACCTCATAGCCAGGTGAGATGGCTCACAACACCAAAAAATGTCAGCCTGAATGGCTTGTGACCACAGTACTCTTTCAGCCTCATCATGGCTCAATAACCAGGCCATTTGTACAGGGTTACTCACAAAAAAAATCAACTGTTCATGATTACGTGCATACAGTATGCTTGTAATAGAAGAAATAAATGGAAACATTGCAAAAATCAAAAAAAGACTAATGGAGGTCCTGGGTGATTTGTCTATAGTATCTAAATACATACAGTATGCTGACAAGATGATTATTGATAATTTTGGCTGGCACAATGATGATGGTTTTGAAGGGAGGCAGATGTCAAGGTATGCTAAGGCTATCTATGCTACCTACACCTTCATCATCATTGTACCGGCCTGCAAAAATCATTTACCATGTTTATCCTTTGCAGAAAGAACATGATTCACGTGCAGTAGAGAGTAGTATTTAATTGGTCTTGAAGGTGTGAGTTGTCTGAAAGTGGTTACCTTGATGGGGGGTAAGCAATAGCACCAATCATTAAGTAGCACAAAATTGAACATTAGCTTATCATCAATACAAACAAGCACTCAAATCAAAGGCGAAACAGAATTTAAAACGGGATAAACTTACGATTACATGAAGTGTTTGGAGATGAGAACCACACGATTGATAAATTGATACAAAAACGTGAACAAAAACCCCCTTTAGTATTGAATGTTCATATTAAACTAGATCATTAGGAAGCACAAAACAGAATATGAGCTTACTATCAATACAAATAAGCATGACAATCAACGGTGAAAAGGTCATTTAGGGGGGGAAACTTACACTTACGTGGAGTGTTTGAAGATGAGAACAAAGTGATCGATAAATTGATGAAAAACATGAACAAAAGAACGCACATTAGTATTGAATTTGGGTGAAAATGACAAGTGAAAAGGATAGAAAGTTGGAAACTTACCACAGACATGCAACCCACTAGACAATTGATAAAGCTCAGCATACTGGTAAATCGATTAGGTGAAGCGAGTCAAATACCAAGGCCAGAGAGAGTTTAATCAATTTGTAAGGAGCGGGTTATCTTGATTTAAATGTACTGGTAGCTGTACTTCCAGAACGTTCAGTGGACTTACCAGCAGCTATGACGGTGGCGGCTGTTGCTGTGCGCTTGGCTTGTTCTTTTTCTCAGTTGCGTTGTTGAAAACAATGTTTAGATTTCTTGGATTTGAAACAAGATCAAGCTGATTCTTGACCGTACACGGTTTCTGATGTGTCACATCTGTGAACAAACCTGTTACATACACACGATCCCGAACTTCTCACTGAAGTCTGGAAACCAAACTCACGACTCCCACTTTGATCGAATCAATATAGTCAAGAACCAATTTATTGGAGTGAAATCACAAGGATGTTATGAAGCGCCAGCGGGACGATCTTACGTAAGGCTCATATGGACTTGAAAGCTTCAACATTAGATGGAAAAGTTGGATTGTTAAGAGATGGCTTTCTTACCAATGAATCAAGTAAGATTCTTTATAATGGGTATTGGTTTAGTCACCTCGATTTTCAATGGCAATTATCTTCACCACAACACTTCTCTTATTTACCTCTGATCATCCCTAGTTTGCTTATCTTGATTTCATGTCTAGTAAGTCATTGTCTTGTTGTTTTATGTCATCTTCTGAGTTTGATGCTGATGCACTTGTTACGTTGTTTGTTTGAACTATTGATCGATATTTTAGGATCTTCACCCAATCATGAAGGATTATAGGTCTTGTATACTTAACAATCAGACAGTTTCAATCAACTCATTTTTTTTTGAAGGTTGTTATGTAATAATTTAATTTGATCGAGACACTTAGATCCAAAATATGTAATGATGTCTTAGATAATCAACTTCTCTCTATCTTCTTTGATTTGATTTGTACTGATATTGATTTGTGAATTTCTTTTAATCATTTATGCATTGTTATGTGAGTATAGTCTTCATGGTCTAGAGATGAAGTCTTGGAGTGAGGGAGATGTGAATAAACAGTTCTATCAAAACAATTTGTATATAAGAAAAGTGGTGTATTGGTTTTTTTTTGAATTTTCTTTTGATATTTGCAAAAGAAAAGAAATGTAATTGATTATGAGAATTATTAAGTGTGAAGTTGGGCCTGATAATGAAACACAAAAATAGAGGTCAGCTCAGTGAGAGCTTTTACTCACTACAATGCGGCCTGAATCACGTGCTGAGCACCTGATCTAAATTCAATCGCCTGCTGAGCACCTGGCTGGTTAGCTCACATGCCAGCGAGGTGCTCACCAGGCAAATCAGCTTGTATCACCGGCACGCAAGCTAAATCGCATGCTGAGCACCTCGCTGGCAGGTCGCGCTTGGACCAACCAGCTCACCCACTGATTGGCTGGTAAACTACGCCATGCCAACGTGGTCTTTTCCTCAACGTGTAGAGCAGGTGACAAGCATTGGGTGAGGGCCACGTAGCCACACTCACACTGCTTTCACCTGGTCTACACAACCACTCGGTGTGGTCATACCCAACTTATATTTCACGTGGTCCCAGTTCAAAGTCACCCTGTGGTGTACATCGGCAAAGTATCCATTAGAAAACATGATCCTCATGATCCTATCACTCGCCAAACAATGGGATTACACATTGCAAGATGCTCGCACCCTCAAGCAAGAAATTCTGGCATATGTTGAACAAAGTGGTCAGTACAGCCCCAAATCGAAAGGTAATAACGAGACTCTTTTAAAGTTCAAAGCGACGTCATACATGCTGAGCATTGAATCGCTTTAACTTTCAGTCGATCGACCTATTGACTACTGGCGTGCTGTTCCATCAACTTCTCGAGCAAACCCTTTGAAACGACTCGCGATCCGAGTTTTGGAAATTGTTCCCCACGCCGGCGGGATCGAGAGTCTTTTCTCCCAGATGTCTGCAACAAAGACTAAGCGCCGAAGTAGGATGCGAGTAGCTCTTTTGAAGATGCTATCACAGCTTCATATAGCCCTTTCAAAGGAAGGAAATAGAATCAAGGCCTCAAAACCAGTCATCAAGCGCCCAAAAGACGCCCCGGTCGCGAATACAGAAGACGACTGGGTTGATCAACCGAACGATTCTCCTTTGTTCAATCAACCCGACGACTTCGACATCTTTGAGGCTGGAGCTTACTCTGCAGAGATAGCTGACATCAACAACATCATTGATGACAGTTTTGATGGGCTGATCAACGAGTTTTTTGATTTGGGCCAATTTAAAGCAGGCGATGTTGTCAATATCAACGGTCTGGGTCGTGAAGTTGTTGTAATTGAAGATGTAGATACCGAGTGGAACTTAAATGATGTCTAGACCAATCTACATCATTTTTGTGATTGCAATCAAAGAACAAATGGTGTTCCACCCTTGAGAATGATAGTCTCGAAGAAAAAAAAGCGACTTTTGAAAAAGATTGGCGCGCCGGCGCGCCACCAGCCAAGGCGCGGATTGTGGCAAGCCTTATTTGGCGCGCCGGCGCGCCATCAGTCCAGAACCCCGCGCCAACTTCTTGAATGTACAACATAGATAGGCCGATAGAAACTTATCTCAAGGAACAATGATAGGCCATTTCCTGGGTTCCCAATTCCGAAACGGTTATTAGCTAGATACACAAATACTACTTTCTTTGCCTTGATATTCACATACCTTTGAAGGTTTTGTGTATGGCAATAGATGACGATCTGCACTTTCAAAGTGATGGTGAGCAATTTTTGGCAGTGTGATGCAAAACCGGATTAAGTAATCACCTGTCACTGGATTTGTTACATGTGTACAGAAATATCAAGTGTCCCGATCGCGTTCATGTGAAATTTGAAACTTCAATCACAAATCACAGTCCAAGTTCTCTTTCTGCTTCAAGACCAAATACAAAATACCATATCATATCATATCAACTTCTCATCAAGAACTACTTATCTCAATTCAAAATATCTTCCTCATGGCTGGCTTGGATGAGCAACTACATCAAGCTGTTCTGGCCGCTCTCACTCCAGGTCCACATCAATCTCAAGGTCTTCAATTATTACAGCAAGTACGCGAGAATCCTACTGAAGCATGGCAAGCTGGTTTGATGGCTTTCTTGGCCGGTGGACCCTCTCAAGATGGCTCTTCAAATTGGACATATAAATATCCTGGAGAAACTCGATTGTTTGGACTACAATTGGTAGATGCCATGTTGCACTTGACTATGAGGTGTGTGATTGATTTCTAGGTAGAATTCTAGCAAACGGCTTGAGTGAATATTGCTGACTAGTAGCTCACGATCCTATCCATAGTTCCGAACAACAAGAATCTTCTGCCGCGCGAGAATGTTGTCAGACCATACGTAATCAATTGTGGGATTACATCATTCGTGAATTTGTTGAAGGTGCTGGAGAGAACGGTTTAGGATGTCAGTTTGAACTTTCGCGTTCTCAATTGGAGTTAGATTTTCAGATACTGATTCTCATTTTGTTTGATCTCAATTCAGATCTTCGCAACAAACTCGTCCAGACACTTTTCCTCATCTTTCTACAGGCGTACACAACCACTTGGCCAGACTTTCTTACTTCTTTCGCTGCCCTCTTGAGGCGTCATCCCACTGGCACGGCCAATCCTTCTTCAAATCCACCTGCTCTCAATCCTCGCACTACAGACCTCTATTTAAGACTGCTACATGAAATTTCTACCGAGCTCTCCGATTCCGTTCTGCGACTCAATAAGCCTTACGCGAGATTGGCAAAGGATACCGAAATGCGAGACGCGGTTCGAGACAGGGACGCGGCTGGAATCGCGAAAGAAACATTCGGAATCGTTGCCGAAGCTTTACAAGGTTTATCGGAGCAAGAGACTACACGTGTGGGTTTGAAGGGCAAGATGGCAGTAGAATGTCTGGAGATGGGTATCCGAGTAGTCGAAGATTATGTCTCATGGATTGATATCTCATTAATTGTGACACCTACATGGATCCCCTTTCTGTACCAATCCCTTCGTCTACCTCAAGTCAACATTCGCCTTGCTGCTGGTGACGCCTTGATTTGCACTGTGACAAAGGGGATGCCTGCAGTCAATCGGCTTCAGCTTTTTGACTGGCTTAAACTCACTGACGTACTTCTCGCCCTCCAAACTGAACGCCAACAAAAACATACTCAAGAAACTGAGTATGATGAGGAAGAAGAACAATTCGGTGCGAAACTGGCGAAGATCTTGAATGGGATGGGAGTCGAGTTGTGCAAAGTATGCGATGACAGTTCAACTCCTTTGGATGTACGATCAGCAGCTCTGCAGATGGCCTCTTCACTATTTCCACTACTTTGGATGTTCTTCGAAGAAAAGGCACCTGCTATTCGACTAGCAGTTATACCTTTTGCCTCAAGTCTTTTGAACCGGTACAAAAAGGATAAAAGGACGGCTCCAGATTCACATATGTCACCAGAAAAGAGATCTTTCTTGTCTCAACTCTTGCGACTTGTAATCCTCACAATGCAATATCCACCAGATGATGATTTAGAATGGCATGCCCCAGTTCCTGCAGGAGAGACTGAAGACGAAGACACCACTATCTTCCTGGATCGCCGGAAACAGATGAAAGTTTTAGCAGATTCGATCGCATCAGTTGACGAAAGTACATTCCAGGAAATCACACAGGCCTTGATTACCAATGTATTGGACAAAGTCAGTGGTGAAGGTCTTCAGGGACAAACACTCTCATGGCAAGAAGCCGAATTGTGTTTGTACATGTTGTACAACTATGGTGAAGCATTAAAAGGTAAAGATGATTTAAATATTCCTGATCGCCAAAGTCTTACAGCTGAGTGATAGAAACCTGATGCCAGAGGACTCTTCACAGGTTGCAATCCTGCAGGACCTTGGACGTACTTTACGATTCCGGCTGAGGAAACCAAAAAAGCAAACAAGAACCGAGATCACAAAATCAATTATTCTCAGTATCCCCTTACGAGTTTGGGCATGATGTTACTCAAAACTGCACAGTCTCGTATCACACAATTCCCTCATCCTTCGATTCCACTTCAATGGTTTGAATGTGTAGTCCGTTACCACGACTTTTTCGAAATCTGCCCAAATGTCATCAGTGACATCTTACCTGCCTTTCTCGACGAGAGGTGCGTATTTCAGTCAAGTGTCAGCTAGATGGATTGCTGATTCATGTCCTTGACTGGGATCCAGGGGAGTACATCATCCTAACCACAGTATACGATCTCGATGCGCCTATTTGTTCTATCGATTCTTATTCTTGGAGAAGCCAGCGTTCCAGAGCCACATACCCGTCCAAACATCCCATTTGATATTGGACAAACTACAAGTAAGTATCCCATCTCGCATTCCTACACGCGCCAATCTGAATACTTGTTTTCACAGGATCTTATTGTGATTGATGCTCAAGTCCCTCAAGATCTTACCTCGAGTGGGGCAGTAAACGGTTCAGAGATCCTTTCCAAAGCAGTATTACTTCCATCCACATTTGATAGTCAACTGTACCTATTCGAAGCTATTGGCGTACTCTTGTCATCATTCTCCCGCGATCCACAAGCACAGACAATGGGTTTGCAGCGTATTATATCTCCCTTGACGAATGGCCTGTTACTTGCGCCGCCTAATGTGCCGGTCCAACTGGCGGACTTGACAAAAGCCCTCAATGTGCATCACTGCATCATGGCCGTTGGCGCCATCGCCAAAGGCTTTCCAGACTTGCCTGTTCATAGCTCTCCTCGGCCTGACGCACCTACCTTAGAGTGGCCCATATTGTTCAAAAACGCGACTGACGAGATCATTCGAGCTACAAAAGCAGCCAATGAGATTCGAATAATTCGCGATGCAGTCAGTCCGATGTCGTTACCTCAGTTGTGGCTTGTGGTATTGACGTTTTTGCAATTGTCAAACAGGCAAGATCCTCGTTTCACAAGATTGTCGCCACTATCGGAATCGAAGCACTTTCCCATGTCCCAGTTTTCATAGACTGTCTCATGGACAAATTGACCATTACCGAATTTGTGGACTTTCTACCATTTATCGGACAGCTCATTCACAGATACAAGGTCAGGATGGCTTCATCAGCATAGCGCCGGTTACCCAAGTCACATCAACTGATCTTGTTTGACTATATTTGCTCACATAGACTGAATTTGGCACATTATTGGATAGTCTTTTGATTCCACTTGTCTCGAAGATCGTAGGTTTCTTGGGTCAACCAAGCACGGGAACTGATGATATTATCACCCAGTCTGAGCTCAGACGGGCCTATTTCACTTTAATCAATTCAATCATCAGTGCAAACATGCATACTATATTCTTATCTGAACGTAAGTCAAGATCGATGGTTGTCTGAATTTCGTTGTGATCGGACTTTTATGTTCTTGTTTCTTTCTAGGGAATCTATGTCATCTGGAATCAATCTTACAGACTATCATTCAGCAGTTGGCTTCGGAAGAGGCGCTACTACCTGATCTTCGTTTAGGATTTGGTGTTTTACATAGAATGACATCAACGTGGCTCAAACCATGTCAATCTACTGAACCTGCTCCTGTACCCGGATTCGAACGCTTCCTCTATGATCACGTCATCCCTTTGTGCTTTTCTCTTCCTAAGAAACAAAAATTCGATTGGAGCGATGCTGAATCGTACTGTAAGTCAATCTTCTGAAGGCAGACTTGATTTGATCTCACCTTTGTTTTGTTGGTTTGATGTTATAAAGTGATAATGGCAGAGGTCGCTACCTTGCTTCACGTGTTGTTGAATACTCGTGGTGACGAGTTTGTAGAGTTTTTGACAGCATCTTTCCTGCCATCTATCGCATGCCAACCTGCAAAAAGTCAAGCTTTGATTGCTGGGCTCAAGGAGAATGCTAAGTAAGTTTGGATTTTTGGAACAAATTCTCATTTTGCTTTTGGTGTGTGATGCAGGGACTGATCTGTATTTGATCGATTGTTTGACTTTAGTGGAAAACCATCAAGGAAACCATTGCTGGAATTCTTTGACCGACCGACTAACAAGGCTTAAGATGTCCTTTGAGAGCTTACTTCTTCGATTCACCTTAATATACTAGCGGATGTTTGAGAATCCTCATATTCATCTTCTCATTAGAGTAGGATGTTAATTACTTGTAGCCAACATTTATACTCATCTTGGAAATCAAAATGTTCACATGCAATAGCTTCGACGTGAAGTCGCTGTCTTGATGATTGACAAGCCTAACCTTCCAACAAAATTATTGGCTGCTATACATATCTCGCACAATCGAACTAGACTGCGTAAGTCCTTCAGAGAAGCGCGATACGTCAGACATTGGTGGCTTTTCTCACGAGCGTGCAGTCTTCCCATTGGGGGATTTGGTATCGTAAGTCTCGGAAACTGGGTTTCATGTATGTACTGCCTGACACGCCTGATCCACAACTCATGTTCAATCCTAATCATGCTCAAGTTAAACTTCAGTAATAAGTGTCCAAAGATTATGTTTGAATCTGCAAATAAGCCCGCTTGCTATCACGAGAGGCCTGTGCTATAAGTAGTTGACTGTATCTGCGAGTTTATAAGAGAAAATGGTTTTGTGCAGAATTCTTTTTTCTTTGAATACTTTGAGAAATGTTCCGCAAGGGTTTTTGAAGTAATTGATCAACTTTAGTTCTCTCCTTTCCGCTGAGCTCCTCATAGGTCCCCATTCCTTGAAGAGTACCTCAGCGGTGACAGATTCAGCTTTGTTCTTCAGTTACGTACGTAGATTATTTCACGATGATAAACTTTGAGTTTTGAATTATGGAAAGCTGTGATACCTTACTAGTTATCATCACTGGAAGGGTATTGTTCGAATTCAAAGCAATCATAAAAAGAAGATTGTATAACTGATGATATATACCCATCTCTTGGTTTATAAACCATCAATCTCGAAAATCGTATGATCATTTGAGATCCCATTTTTTGTTTTTTATAAATTAAATTTCTATCACTCAATCTCTCTCGAAGTTTCTAATTCATTATTAAAGACATCTTTCAACTTTTGATACATTTCCATCTATCTCGACCATGGTGGCTCAAATCAAATCAAAAATCAAAAATGAATCAAAGGGTGAGAGTAAAATGCCATTTAATAAATTATGAAAGGTTACTACAATGTTGATCAATCCTTTGATTGGTAACAGGTTTGACTCGATTTGCACCTACAAATAAACCACCGAGAGAAGGGAAACTTCCAGTGACCCTCTTGAGTGGATTTCTAGGTAAGTGAAAAACAACACCACAACTCAACAAGATTCTTTCCAAGAATGAAAAATCAATATTAATAATTTCCTTTTCTTTGATACTCTTTTAAAAAAAAGGCTCAGGGAAAACTACACTTCTAGAACATATTCTAACTTCAAATCATGGACTAGGCAGATTAGCAGTAATAGTAAATGATCTAAGTACAATCAATATAGATGCATCAATTTTGAAATCTCATCATATCAATCATTCAAAAGAAAGGATCATTGAAATGCAAAATGGTTGTATTTGTTGTACACTTAGAGGTGATTTATTAGAAGAGATTGGAAATTTAGCTGAAGATAAAAGTATTCATTGGTTAGTGATTGAATCTACTGGGATATCTGAACCCATGCAAGTAGCTGAAACGGTGAGTGAAAAAATTGACTACTTCATCATCGTGAAAAGACAAAGGAAAAATTGATTTTTGACATATCCATCATTTGATGATCTTTTGGTTCTTGTTTTAGTTTTCAATAGAGTTTTCAGATATGATGTTACAAGCTTCTGAAGATATGAAACATCAAATGGAAGTGGATGGTGAAAAGAAAGATCAAAATATCAAAGTCCAGCAAATCTTGGCTAACGGAGGACTTTCGAGTATCGCAATCCTTGATACAACTGTTACAGTTGTAGATGCTGTAAATGTCTTCAATGACTTTCATACAGCCGATTTCCTTGTGGTATGATTAACTTCAATTGATGAATGGTTTGAGAGCAGAGTTGTGATAGAATTGACTTTGGGAATGTTTTTCTCATCGTAGGATCGTAATGAAGCTGAAGATGTACCAGAAGAAGATGATAGGAATATATCCGATCTTTTAGTTGATCAAGTAAGTGACGATTTTTCTGTCTTTCTTTACTTGATCTAAGCTGATCAATGATTTTGTCATCAAGCTTGAATTTGCTCAAGTAGTGGTGATTAATAAAACTGACTTGGTCAAAGAAGATGAATGTTTAAAAATCAAAGCATTGATTAAAACTTTAAATCCGACAGCCAAGATTTTACTTTCTAAATATTCTAGAATCGATCTTCGCGAGATCTTAGACACAGGTACTTTTGATTATACCAAAGCTACTATGAGTATGGGATGGCTTAAAAGTCTTAGTGAAAAGGTATTACCAGAGACTGAAGAATATGGGATTGGTAGCTTTGTGTATCGTGCTCGTCGACCATTTTCTCCTGTTCGGCTTTGGAAAATGATCAGAGAGGTTAGTTTCTTTCGAATACTCAGATTTGAATTCAAAAGGATATTTAGATCGCGCATTTTTTATGAAATAGGTCTTTGTGGTTATTCAAGATGAATATGTCGACGACGGTGAAGATGAAGAAGAGATAAGTGGGAGTGATGGAGAGGAAGACGAAGAGACTGAAACAGATTCAATTGATGAGAAACAGGTAAATATTTGAATCAAATCTCAAAATGTCTTCATTGGAAAGCTGAGTTGACTTTTACGAACCTTGCAACAGCCTCAACTGAATCCAAAGGCTAGATTGAAATCAAAACAAGCTTCATCAACTTTCGCAACTTTACTAAGATCAAAAGGTTTCATTTGGCTTGCAACTAGACCTCTGATGGTAAGTTTATTTCATCAGTCCATATCTCTACTTCTTTCAAGTCTCTCGAATATTGACTGTTGGTTTTATAATTGTGTCAAGTTTGGTGAATGGTCTCAAGCCGGAGTAATGTTGACAATTGGCGGAGGAGGTGGATGGTATTGCGAAATGCCAAAAGAAGACTGGCCAGATGAACCGGAAGTGGTTAAGGCAATTTTATCTGATTTTGAAGAACCTTGGGGTGATCGAAGACAAGAGATTGTGATGATTGGAACTGAATTTGATGAAAATCAAAAGAATTTAATCAAAACTGCATTTGATGATTGTTTACTTGATGACATAGAATTCAAAGATTGGCAAAAGATCATGAAATCGAAGAAGAAAAATGCAGAGAAAATAAAATTGTTAGAAAGGAGGGTAAGTGAATCACTGCCGTTTCTTTTTTTACCAATAAAAGATTGAAATGTCCTGATGTTTTCTGTCTTATCATCATTAGTGGGACGATGGTTTTGAAGATTGGACGGATGAAAAACTCACTGAACATGATCATCACCATTGAAAAAATTCAGGTTGAACAATCCTATAGCTGATTTAGTTCGAAAAATGTCCATCCTCTTGTTTTTTCTTCTTGTTGCTTGGACTCATGGAAATAAAAATCAAAATTAGTTTGAATTCGAGAAAAATGTACATATCAAAATCCAAATGAATGAGATGCAACTCGCATATTGCATTGACAAACATTTGATCACCTTGAAATCAAGACTCAAAGTATTTACATGAATTCTACATTTCCATTCTGAGGGATTTTAAAACGACCAACCAACTGGCAGTCGAATTACCTGCGGTACATACATTTAACATCTGACACACCCTAGCTTCTTGGAAGCTTCCATATTCCTATTGCCTTTACGGTCAAAGTTGGATTTGACTTCCTGAAAGGTCTTCTTGCCAGAAAAAAACTCAACATTATTGTTATAAACTAATTTATGAAATCTAAAAAGATTGGTGCATGTCAGCTTAAGAAAAATAAGATCAACAATAACAACAGTTAGTATTTCAATTATGGTATAAGCTCCTGATTTGAGTCTTAAATGGCCTTTGTTGGCTTTACAATTTTATCAAGTCAATCTGAGAATACATCATCTGCAATAAACTGAAGTTTTTTTCTCTTTCCCTTTGAAGATTGGAGTGTGCATACATCCCTTTTGTGAACTTTGAAAGGCTTTTTTGAAGGATAACCCTGTGTCAATTTTTATCTGTTAGGAAAATTTTGATTGATTTGAATTCAATTTCCTTCAAAGATGACTTCAATAACACTCCTTCAAATTTTTAACCCTTATATTGACAATCAAATAAATTCAAACTTGGAAACCAAGAAGTTTGAATCCATTGGTAGATTATGTATTGTTTATTTCTCCTACAAAGCTTCTTTTTATCCATAGTCACAACTTTTCTGTCACATGATATTGTTCCAGGCAATATCTTGGTGGTTTGAGACCATGTGATAAAACACTTACCTTTCATCATATATAGTTCTTTGCTTGCATTGTTATTTTTGATTTACTCTGTCTTTTTCATGGAAATATTTGTGTGGGAATAGTTATCCTTCTTTGCGTTCTTTAGATAGAGAATATGATCTTCAAAAACATCAAGGAATTATCTTTTTAGAGAGTTCAGATTTATATCTGTAGGGTTCTGAACTTCAATCACAAGCTATATGTAGCTCCTTAGAATATGTGTCCTGGTACAAGGACAAGGTAAAATTACCCCATCATCAAGGCCAATTCTTTCCTTTGTTGGACAAAAGATGTTAAGCATGTTCATCTTGCTTTGAATCTCTGGATAAATCAGGATGGATAGATATGTGACTGACCTGCAGATGTGGACTTCACTGCAAATGCCATGACAGACAGGGTTTTGGGTTTACAAAGCTCTTGCCTGTATGTATCAATATAGCAAAAGGGTATATTTAGTTCTAAATCTGCCACTGTGTTACATGCAGGTAAGCTTGCCACTCTCTGCTTGGGCAAGCCTCTTGGATCACATGAATCTCCTGGTACTCTCCTTATGTGATAGACTAATTATTGCTCTGAGAACACGGCCAAGAAACCTGAATTGTGCTATGTGACAAACTCTGTACACAAATCCCAGTTAGGGTTGATAAAGGTTGAAAGGAATGTGAATGTGGGATCTATCACACCTGCACAGAGTTATGGGCCAAGCCTTCATGCTCCTAGTTCAGGCCTGCTTTTGTGGACAAAGATTGAATGACTTGGAGTGTGAAATTGGGAACTGGTTGGATTTACCTCAATTGTGGGGTTTCATTGAAGGTAGGATTGGGCTCCAACCCAGAGTCAGGCAATTGTGGGATACATCTCTACTGTATCTGGAATCACAGCCGCAATCAGTCTGCATGGCGAAGGTAGACACTGGCCTCACAGGGCTCCACAAACATTCCAGCCACACCTAATTACTGACCCTTGATGTTGTGGTTATGTCCGCTTTGTAAAGGGGAAGGACAAATACCTGTTTTTGTGGAAAAGTTTCAATAAATCAGAGGGTTTGTGGGAACCAAAACAACCATCCAGAATGCTCAAGAAATTATCAACAGGTTCAAGTTAAGGTTTCAACAGCCCCAGAAGATAATAGAAGGTAACAAAGGATGTGGGGGTACCAAGAGTGGCCATCGTATTTTGCACCAGGTCTTTTAATGCCAAGCCCTGGAGCAAGACAGCCAATCAAGGGAGTTTGATTGTAGAGGGGGAATGTTGTTACAATGTATGTCACATGACCTGGGTATGTCACAGACCTGTGACAGGTGTGATACTAGAGCCACCCTTGTACCAAACCTCACTGTGTAGCTGCTCTTGAGTCTCTTCTCTATGCTACCATAACTATATCACCTGAAGCCAGAATTGGTCTCTCTCTCTATCCCTCACGCTGTGACCCCAGCCCAGTCATAAAAATTGGCTATATACCTGTCCACACTGGTTGTTTCCGTTTGAAAGACGTAACTTATAAGAACCTAGTATACAAAGGGCCATCCAAACTGCCCTTTTCTCAGGTGAGATATGGTCAAACAGGACAAATAGAACTGCCTGTAGCACAGCTCAAAATTCCTTCTCAAGAAGATTTTGATAGAAATTGATGAAAGTGTGGGGTTGTATTGCGGGTATGTTCAAACACTTTTTGTTGGATGCCCCCCACCTGCCAGACAAATCATCATATATTTTTGTCCCTGCTTGCCAGTGTTGATCTCCCTCATGGTGTTGTGAAAAAGATACTTAGTTCTGTCCCATCACTAAACATGAACAATCTTGACAGGTGTATCAATATGTCTGTCAAACCCTCAAAGAGATGGCAAGGTTAATATCAATTGCACTGGTCAATGAGAATCAGTCATGGTGACCCTGACCTTTTAGCCACAACATTGGAGAATGGTCTAATGAAGGAATGTCAATTTGAATCGGGTACCATGAACCTGCCAAAACCATGACAATTGTCCATGAAATGCACAGCAATGACAAATTCCATTCCTAAAGTAGCAGAATCAATATTTGAGACTCAAGTAGTACAACACTACAAAAAGCTTAGATCAAGTCCACAAATAGAGAGTTCACAAGGTGACTAATAGAACAAGAATGCTATCCATAATAATCAAGACTTGAAAAAAAAGTCCAAATCAAAAAGCTTGGTAAGGGATGAGAAAAAAAAGAATGAAAAGTGAAACACAAAATCAAAGATAAATGATAAAACATTTCAAGAAGAAAATTTAACCATCCAATGGTAATGGAGAAGGAAGAAAATCAAATTCATAAGGAAGAATTAAACCTCTTTGACCACCTTTCACCAACCAAATCATTTTCCAAACATCAGTCACATATTGATCCATACCAAATGAATTCAAAATCCAATCTTGAGTACTTTTAGCTTTCTTGATTCGTTCTTCATCATGGTCTAACCACCAATTCAATGTTTTCACTATTGTTTCATCTGTATCATTATTTGACATGGGTACAATTCCTTCCCTGAACCAACTTTGCCTATCAAGTGGTATGTTTCCTGCAATCAAACATCCTGCTGCTGCTGCTTCTACATATTTCTGTACAGAGTATCCCCATCGGCTATCGGTTACTAAACAAATCTTAGCGTGTCCAAAATCGGTTCCAAAGTCCACTAGTTGTTGCTCTTGATTCGCTGCATTCACGCGTGGATTTCTATCCTTTGGGTCCTTGATGTCCTCGTACCCTGGATGTCCACGAATCCAACCTGGGAGCGTCTTATTACGGATCAAGTTTGCCAATCTAGCTCGGAATGGATAAAAAGCACCGAGATCACCAGCGATGATGATAGGTTCTGGTCGTGGGCCTGCTGCTGGATGATAGAAGATGGCCGCATCGATAAAGTGCGGTTGATGGACCAAGAGAGACTGAGTGGCAAATTTGATTCGATAGTCCAATAGTTCGTATGCGTAAGGTGCTAGGACGAGAGAGACATTGGCCACTGAGATATAGTAAAAAAACGAAAGCCATGTTTCAAGACGCGAAGTTAGTTTTGGGACCATGTTTCAGGTGATCGACAATTGCAACTGACGCGTATAAAACTCCTCTTTACGCATATCTCTCATCTCATGAGGCCGGTCAATGATCACAACACCTTTTCCCTTTGAGCTAAGTTCTTTGATCTCATCAAACCAGGGTTTAGGATCGATGTGACGAAATTTGACTTGATCATTATTGAAATAGACCAGCACGGCATCGAAAAAATCGGCGGCACCGTATTTGGTTTTGATATTCTGTGATATGGTTGTAGAATTAGACCAACCCTCAAAATCGGGACCCCATAGTACTGCAGAAGAGATAATATCATCTCGAGCCAAGAAGGCATCTATTGATCAAGGTTTGAAACAAGATACTTCAAGTCAGTCAGAGTTCAAATAAACAATCTGAGAAGAAGAAAGAAAGAGACCATGTGAATGTAAAAACCATCGATCCATAAGCACTTCCGAAGTATCCTTATCGATCAAATGAAGTATTTTAATTTTTTTAGGTTGATCACCAAACGTGTTTTTAAAACCAGTAGCCCAACTCTTAGCTAAATCTTGAACTTTCTCCCATTTTGGTAAACAACCTTCACGACATTGAGTGATCCCGAGTTGTTCAGGAGCATGACCCGAAGCTATGATAAGTCCAAAGATGATCACCAAACATGAAGCAGGAATGAAAAGCCTTAGGATGAAACATGTGATTTGACTTTTTGATGATCGAGGATGAGGATGATGGGTGTTTGATCGAGCATAAGGACCATGAGGAGTAGTTGGAGTAGAAGCTGAGGAATCAGTGATTGGGACTGGTAAATAATGGGTTGAAGTCATTTCAAATCGAAGAAGTCAAGTTGACTGTTGACCAAGGATGAACAAAACAAAACAAAAAACCTGATGGATGAACACACAAGGACTTGTATTACACAATCACATCAGATTGAAAATTACAACATTGCAAATTTACATACAAAGTCAAGATTAAAATCCTGTACGACAGTTTCTTCAAAAGATTTCTTCCAGCATTTTCATTTTCTGCTCTCTTCAACCCTTAACTTGCATTCAAGCAATAGTTCAGTAAGTTGCCCACAGATGATATCTTGGATTCAGGGAATACATAGAATGAACCAGAAATTAAGTTGAATCCGATTGCTGAAGTGATCCAGTACATCGTAACCGGGAGTATCTGGATTCTGGAGCGTGCCTTCCCGGAATTGCATGGCTGCTACGTCAAGAGAAATGGAGCAGTTTTGGGTGGAGCTGAGTCAGAAGGCAATGTGATTGATGAAAATGCAAGCCTGGCTCAGGCATCTGGACCATCAAAAAGGTTCATGAAACAATCATGTAAGGAAACCCGAGGATAATCGATATGTATATATTGGATCGAGTGGTACACCAGAGAGCTTTCAGACTCGCGCTTTGGCCAATCTTCACAAGATCTCATTCGTAGATGCTGGGAGCTGAGGGTGGAGTCGAGGATATCCGGCTGAATGGGTCAGACAGGCTTCTTGAGAAACAAATCTAGACTGTGGAGACGAGTTTCCTTGAATACTTCATACGTATAAAATCTGGCAGTTCTCCGTCTTTCTTCCTTCATCTGATCATATCAAGGATTCCAGGCTCCAGCTCAACAAAGACTTCCAATTTCATAAGTCAAATCAATCCGTCTTGCAATTAAACCTGTATCATGAAGACCTCTACAATCTTTTTATCTACGCTCGTTATCTTTGTCGGCCTCTTGTCAAATGCGCTGGCGGTGAAGTGGTCATCGAGTGAGAGCGCTTATTTTGACTATGCTACCTTTCATTTCCTTACCCATGTTTTGGTTATCAGATTTCGCCCAAGAAGACATTGTCACATTGACTCCTCTCCTGAAGAACATGCAAACTTATCTATCAGCTCAGAATTATGGTGCTGCCTACGATATACTTGGAAACAAAGGCACCAAAAAGCTCGTCGCATTTGGTGACACGACAGTAATCTACACTAAGCAAGGTAAGCGATAAATATCAAAGTCTTACATCTTTATTATACAAAGCCAATTGAGTTGGTTCTATCAGACTTCATAAATGCCTTTGCAAGCTACCAACAATTTGGTAAACTGAAATTCAACTTTGACTCAGGTAATTGCTCACACACTTCCACGTGATTTATTTTCTCCTACATTTCCTTTGAAGCTAACACATCTGGTGAAATAATATAGCCAAACTTGTCAGCGCTCGTTCCGCTTCCTCCTATCAAATGACTGTGAACGGAGCCATCACCGTTTCCTTTCCAGTTTCAATCAAACTCAATGCCAACATCATCTTCGCTGGTGCGGATCCTGTAGCTGGCGAGGTTAAGTCCGCGATCTTCACCATCAATTTTGGATGATAATTGTTCTGCCTTTATGTACTGTGTTGTAACTTTGGCTCTATTTGTCTTTGTTGATTCTTTCTTATCTTACGGACCTTTTGCATCATTTTTGTGATTTTTCATCAAATCTTTCACAATTATTTATTCCTCAACATGAACAATCCTGATTTATTGTCATATTCATATTTTGTTTACAGTAACGACTCATAACCTCATTTCTCAATATTTGAAATTCTCATTTATTGCCCTGACCATGATTTTTTTTAAGGAAGGACTCATAAACATATTTACGAGGAAGAGCTTGATACCACTTTAGCAACAATTGGCAAATCGGAATTTTACAACCTTTGATTTTGAGAGATAAACATTATGGGAGGTTGTAATCTACCTGCCCCAGAATTATCAGGTGAAGATACTGAACCCATTAACTTAACTAGTGACAGAGTTTGTTGTTCAATTATGACTATCTTGCAAAGGATGAGCCCAACAAGGTTTGGAATTAGATTTCAAATCTATCACAAGTTCCAGTCATGTTCTACTTCCAAATCCATTGATCACCCTGCTTTGGTTCAGGAAAATAACCTTGTTCATCTTTGTCAATCCCCATAAAAAACCCATGTGTATATATGTAGATTGCATCTTTGAACCCAAATATGAGAATGTATAATGTATAAGATTACTGAGTATAGATAGTACATATGAGTTTAACACAAAATTGATAAATTACATGAACCTTGGCCCACAAAAAGAGATTGCACACTAATTTACAAAAACAACAAAAACATAAACATGAATAATAATCAAACAAACCAAATGAGACTAGAATACAAACTAATTGATCTAAGAAGAAAGAAAGAAAGAAAGAGACCATGTGAATGTGAAAACCATTGATCTATAAGAACTTTCAAAGTATCCTTATCAATCAAATGAATTATTTATTTTTTAAAGTTGTTACCAACAGTTTTTTCAAAACCAATAGCCCAACCAAAAGCTACATCATGAAATTTTCCCATTTTGGTAAACAACCTTCACAACATTGAGTGATACCAAGTCCTTCAGGAGCATGACCAAAAACTATGATAAGTCCAAAAATGATCTCCAAGCATGAAGCTGGAATGAAAAGTCATACAACAAAATATGGGATTTGATTTTTGATGATCAAGGATGAGGATGATGGGGATGTGATTGGAAATAAGGCCCACAAAGAGAAGTTGGAGCAGAAGCTGGGGGATCAATGATTGGGATTGGTAAATAATGGGTTGTTGTCATTTCAAGATGAAAAAGCCGGGTATCCTAATCACAGATCAACAGAACAAAAGACAAGCACTTGATGAATAAAATGATGGATTACCCTAAGGTTGAAACAGTGGTCTAAAGTCCATTGTGACATGTATGGAAGCTTCTGAGGGGTGTTGCGGACCCAAGTATACTCAGGCCCCTCGCTCCCCCAGTTTCTCATATTTCTGATCTCTCATTATGTTCAGAGAAAGTTTATTTTGTGTGCACTACCCTCCATTCATTCCACTATAACTCCTTCTTCCTCAATCCTTTGAGAACCACAGTGAAAAAGAGAAATTAATAGAAAATAAGAATCATCTTCAACAAAAGTGTCAGCCCTGAGTACATATACATGTACCCAAAATTAACTTGTAATATCAAATATATCATATAAGATAGGGATGCAACTGGGCCCCGGCCCTGCCCGGCCAACTCTGCCTGATGGCTTCTGAAGAGCTCACAGTCCGCACTCAAGGGCCACAAAACCTGACGTGATGAGAGTCACAAACACCCCAAAGAAGATTTGGCTGGGTCGGGTGCCCAACCCTTTCTCCTCACTTGTTCAAATCAATCTACTTTCTCTAAGTTTGTCCTTACTTTTGTTAAACACTTCTATGGATTTGAAATGCAGAATTATCCCCTCTCTGGGTTTATTTTGCTCCTAAATTTGAGCCTGGCCCTGAGTAATTTCCAAAGGCCTTTGGGTCTACCCAAGGCTGGGAAATGCCCTGCGGGCGGCCCTGAACTTTCAGGGTTGGGTTGCAGACCTATTATAAGAAGCCTCAATACACATATATACAGTTAATAAACAGTATGTAACATGAAATATAACCTATAATAACACTCATTACATTTACATGTACACTCATAATCACATGTAATTAGGGCTATGACCCGGCCCTGGCCCCAGCCGCCTGAGCCTGCCCAACAATTCCTTGAAGGCAAGCGGTACACGCCCTGGGTCAGCTGAGCTTGGACTACAGAATGCCAGAAGCCCCGCCATGGGCCCAGGCCCTCAGGGCGCCAGCCCTGATGTTTTTGGTCCCATCTCCCCAATACAGGCCCACAACAAGCCGCGGTCTGCTTGAAGATGCAGCCAGGCCTTTTCAGGGCCGTGCAGTGCCCTGGGGCCGGCCATGTTGTGCCAGGGCCGGGTCATAGCCCTACATGTAATATGTGATCAAACACCAATTTCTTCTTATAACTCCGTGTCAAGCGTTAAAATGCTTATACTACATATCATACTTAAAATGTATATGTAATTAAGCATATGTAATAATGATAAAAATGAGACCCTGAACCTTGTGGTGATATGACCAAATATCACGACAGTTAGGTTTAAAGAAAAGAGTATAGAAACCTCTCTTCTCTCAGCTTTCAAGAAGTCCCCCCAAGCAATTATTACATTACACCTTCAAAGATCCACTTTAAAGTTATACCAAGTATATAGTTAATAGTCTTATCAATATAAGACTGTCTGTCTAGCACACAATACATGACAAGTGATACAAAACCCAAGGGGAGGTCGGGACTTTTTTGGTCATAAGCATCTTCAGGCCCAGCCGATTTCAGGACTTTTTTGATCACAAGCATTTTGGGCAAAAATCAAATTAGAACCTTTTTTGTCACACACATTTGAGCCTCAGAAGGCCAAAAAGGACTCTTTTTGTGAGAGGGCTCTGTAGGAGCTTTCCAGGGTCCTGGATCAGGTTGTGGGTGTGGCACAAAAAAACCGTCTTAGGCGCCAGATGGCAGGTGTGCCTAGGCATCAGAGAATTTGTAAAATTGGGGGTTGGCGCACCTTTTTGAAAATCACACCAAATCTAAGGAATTCTATGTCCTGTCACCAATACTGGAGTTGTTGACATCAGCAGTGGGACTTGTATACTTACTAAGAACTCCAAAGCCAACTCTTGCTCACCTTTACATGGCAGAACTGTTGTGGTAGATGGCTCCAGCAACTTGAAAATCAGAAAAAATATTGATGAAAAACATCTTGGCTTCCAACACTTCTTCAAGAACTATCTCTTTACCATCATATCTCATAGGATGCACAATTCCCTCAAAATGATCATCTTGTAAACCTGTGGACTCTGAACTCTTGTTCAATTCCCACTTCTGATTATCATCTCCTCAAAGTGTTCAATAATATCTCTCCAAAGCATTCTCACAATGATTTGAGATTTTTTGTTATATATCATACCACATGAACATATATCTACGGTCACTGCCAGCATAGATGCCTCGGGTTGAGAAATCCGAGGCATCATCGGAGGCAAATCCTCGGACAGACCTTGTCCGAGGTTTTTGCCTGAGGTATTTTTTTGCCCTGGAAATAACCTCGGATCAAAACCTCGGGAAGCTTCTGTCCGAGGTTTTGCATCCGAGGATACCTCGGATTACAAAATCCAAGGTAAATATGTTGGCAGTGGGTACTCAAAGTTGTGTATAGTTTTTGTACATAGCTTTTTTGGCAAGGCAAAAGAGGCCAAAAGTATATTTTATTTTATTTCCCCGCCAAAAAAAACTATATACAAAGACTATATACATGAAGGGTACTTGAAGTACAGGCCCCACATACTGTCATTCTCAAAAAGCTTGTCCAAGTTTCCCTGCAAAACTTGAGCAGTTTGGCGCGGAATGTTTGGCAAGCTTTGTAAGAATGACAGTACTTTCCAAATCCCATTTTTGACAAGGAAAATGGCCCAACAAGTTACAGAAGAGGACATTATGCCTGTCAAAAATTTGAAAGTATTTGGCACTACACTTGCTTTGAGTACCCTTCATACTTTGAGTACCTTGATTTTCTGTCCTGTCCACCTCTCCCTGTATCTTGTAATACCTTTTTCAGGCCACCCCATAGTGGACCACTCTTTTATGCCTTGAGTCAGTCATCTATTCTACTATATGATTTGTACACTTTGCAACCAGGGCTTTCAAAGCTTCTTGTTGTGAGTTTATTTAGATAGCACAGATCACCCAAACTCCCCAGACCTATTAGGGATTGAGCAAAGTGAATTTTTGTAAAATTGTAATTTAGAGTATTTTTGTGTATCTTCAATTCAATAGAACTGGACAGCTCCTCCCAAATTAATCAACAGAGAGAATTTTCAATACAATCAAAGCAGACAACCATCCACAAGTCCTGCAACTCCATGTTTTTTTTTGCTTTTGATTTGATCTAAAATTTGTGGTTGTGTGTTCCACTATGTAACCCATCCTAAATACGTGTGATCTTCTTTAATCTGACATACGTTCAGGTCAACTCCATTTGAAAACCTTGTCTGTTTATAGATATGCAGATATCAGTGGTCTAGATTTGCGGTGGATCTGCCCTAAACTCAACAAAGTCCCACGCTGCGTCTCGCACGCTTTGAGCGCAGCGAGGGACTTACGACAACAAGGCACGCTTTTGCCTGTGAGGTTTTTTAAATTTGGCTGGTGAAATCTTCACTCCTTATAAAACTTTTTCACCCATATGTGAAAAAGTTTGGCCAAAGAAACTTTTTGTTCGCCTTTCTGAGGCGATTCGATCTATCCAATAAAAAACCGAGGAACTCGAGGCATCCTCCCTCCATATGCTTTGCAAGTTTCAAGATTTTGTTGAAATGAAACTGTTGTTACCTGTAACATTTACACATGATTGCTGCAAGGTATTTACACACTAGTTTTATCCCATCCAGGATATGGTCATACGGTCATAACTTAACTTATCGACATGCTCTTTCGTGCTGAGCATGTTGTGCTTCCCAAAATGCTTCAAATGTTCCAATGAGCTCAAATACCCTCACATATTGTATTCTTATTAACAGGCAGACACCGATGTTTCCTCATAACTTTTGTAACACACGCTGTAAAGTCTCATGTCCAGTCAGTGTGTCTTTAAACACAAAGCACAAGGAATCTGAAATGAAATAGGTTGATGGGCAATCAAAAGAGAAGTTTGCAACAAGTAAATAAGATGTAGGGAGGAGGATACAAAAGGGTGTTATTATAAATTTGATTAGAGAGGGTGTTATTATATTTTTGTGGTAGTACTATTCAGAACTCGGGACATAAGAAATACAAGTCTAATGAAGAGTTTTGTCCCCGCAGTCATGCTACAGTTGCTACAGTTACAAAGGAAAATCTGGAAACTTGTAGAGCATATGGAGGGAGGATGCCTCGAGTTCCTCGGTTTTTTATTGGATAGATCGAATCGCCTCAGAAAGGCGAACAAAAAGTTTCTTTGGCCAAACTTTTTCACAAATGGGTGAAAAAGTTTCATAAGGAGTGAAGATTTCACCAGCCAAATTTAAAAAACCTCACAGGCAAAAGCGTGCCTCGTTGTCGTAAGTCCCTCGCTGCGCTCGAAGCGTGCGAGACGCGGCGTGGGACTTTGTTGAGTTTAGATCTGCCCAGAGAATCTGCTGCTTCATGGAATCCGAGAGCCTCATGTACGGTGAGGCGTGAGTTTGGCACAGTACCACAGTGAATGTGTAATTGCGGTACTCAAAGCTACATATGTACGCGTACATAGTTGCTTTGAGTACCGTAAATATGACTGACTGTCTGACAGGTCAGACATCACACACCCAGATTGAGAATTTGTATTACCTTAGACTCTCCCATCACCGGGTTGACCAGGTTGGACCACCGCATTAAGCATCACTGATGCCCATCAACATCCTCTCAACATCAATCGTTCATCCTCATCCAGATTCCAATATGATCTACCTTAGAATGTGAGGTAGGATCACAATCCAGTTTGTACAGTAAGCTCTTGCAAGACTGCAAGAAGATTTATGATGTTTATATGTTTTTTTGTTTTCTAAAAGGAAAGAAAGAGATGATTCACAAGAATTTGATACCAAAAGGGCAATTGAGATTAGACAACACAAAAGACAAAATGCATTAAGTATATGCAAAGTAATAATACACATAGGAGAGTTCTCCCAAATTATCCTATCCGTTGCATAAGACCATTCGCGTCATGTGTCAGAACGACTCGAGACCAATCTTGTTATGGACCTCTCAAAGCGACAAAAACCTGAAATTCTGACGGAAGTGATACATATAAGCACGGCAAAATATGAACATTCAGCGAAAAGAATCTTCTTGCTTGGGATGAAGGGTGGGATGAATGACTGGTGGTCAAGTCGGTTCCAGTGCCATCTCCTGTGGATGGGGACAGGCTGTGAATGTCATGACGAAAATAACTCTATGTCTGCGTGACATGTTGGGAAAGCTCACCGCTCTCTGCTTTGGTGAGCCTCTCGGATTCCATGAATCCCCCGGTACTCTCGATCTGCCAGGCCCTTTGTTGAAATTGCAGCTAAACCCAGGTTTACAAAACTTCACCTCGCCCAAAGTTTGCGCGCATCTAACTGCGCTGTGGGTCAGGGGTTCAACTGTCTAGATTTGTTTCTCAAGAAGCCTGTCTGACCCATTCAACGGAATATCCTCAGCTGTAATAGTATTTGAGGGTAAGATCATCTGAAGATCCACCAAAGTGCCAATCTGAGAGCTCTCTGGTGTGCCACTCAGGTCAAGTATATGTATATTGATTATGTCCGGGGTTCCTTACATATTGGCTTCATGAGCCTCGTTGATGGTCCAGACGCCTGAGGCAGGCTTGCATTTTCATCAATCAAATTGTATATCAACTCTTCTTCACTCAAAACTGCTCCATTTCTTTGGACGTCTGCGCTTCACTACGCTTTGGGGTATACCACGCAGGAAACTTTTTGGCGCGAGTGGCTTTGTCACGTTCTAGGGAACTTTCCATTTTTGACCCACTGCGCTACTTTCGCAGCGCAGTCCTCACACCTCCAGTCACCGGCGCAGCGCATTTTCCGCCAATCATGGGCTGCCCTGTGCTGGCGTTGGGGATTGTTAGAATGTAGGGAGGATTTTCTTTCAATCCTTCATACGTATAAAATCTCGCAGTTCTCTGTCTTCCTTGCTTCATCTGATCATATCAAGGATTCCAGCTCAACAAAGACTTCTATTCCATAAATTGAACCAATCCAATTTCCAATCAAACATCTACCATGAAGACCTCTACCCTCTCTTTATCTACGCTTGTTATCTTCGTAGGCCTCTTGTCAAATGCGCTGGCGGTGACGTGGTCATCCAGTCAGAGCGCTTACTTTGACTATGCAACCTTTCATCTCCTTACACATGTTTTGTTTATCAGATTTCGTCCAAGCGGACATCAACACATTGACTCCTATGGTGAAGAACATACAAACTTGTCTATCAGCCCAGAATTATGGTGCTGCCTACGATATACTAGGAAACAAAGGCACCAAAAAGCTCGTTGCATTTGGTAAGACAAAACTGATTTACACTAAGCAAGGTAAAGGATCAATATCAAAGTTTTACATCTTTCTTCTACAAAGCCAATCGAGTTGGTTCTATCAGACTTCATACATGCCTTTGCAAGCTACAAACAATACGGTGAACCGAAATTCAACTTTGACTCAGGTAATTGCTCAGAGTCACACACTTCTACGTGATTCCTTTTCTGCTATATTTCCTTTGAAGCTAACACATCTGGTAAAATGATACAGCCAAACTTCTCAGCGCTCGTTCCGCTTCCTCCTATCAAATGACTGTGGACGGAACCATCACCGTATCCTTGCCAGTTTCAATCAAATTCAATGCCAACATCATCTTCACTGGTGCGAACCCTGTAGTTGGTGAGGTTAAGTCCGCGATTTTCACCCTCAATTTTGGGTGATAATCCTCTTCTCTTGATGTACTGCGTTGTAACTTTATCTCTGTCTGTCTTTGTTGATTCCTTACTATCTTATCATGGGCCTTTTGTATCATTTTCTATTTTTTATCAAATCTGTCACAATTCTTCCTTCCTCAATATAAGCAATCCTTAATTGGCGTCATATTTATATAGCAGAATTTTACAAGCTTTGATGATTATGAGGGACAAACCTCAAGGAAGGTTGTAATCTAACCGCCCAAGAATGATCAGATTTTGAATCCATCAACTCAACTAGTGGCAGAGTTTGTTGTTTGATTGTGAGTATCAATGGCCTACTTGCAAAGTATGAGCCAAATTGGTTTCGGAAAATAGCCTTGTCACTCTTTGTCAATCCCAATGAAAAGACCCCCATAAATATATATAGATTGCGTCTTTGAACAAAAATATGTGAATGCAGAATGTATAATATCACTGAGATAGTACATATGAATTTAACACAAAAGGGATGAAATACATGAAAAGCAACCCACTAAGAGAAATTGCACACTGATTTACAACAACAACAACACCATTGATAATAATCAAACAAACCAAATAAGACTAACACATGTAGAAAGAAAATATGATAAAGATAAAAGATAAACTTGAGATATGAAAAGAGACACTCCTTTACAGTGGTTTTACAAGCAGTAAGGCTAAAAGGCTTGAAAGAATCAAAGGCCCGAGAAAGATAAACTTCTAAGCTGTACGAGACACCATACACATTCCCTACGATAGTGACTCCAACACAAACACACGAAACAAAAAACGCTAGAATGGATAGAAGTCTTTGAAGTGATGGGGAGTGAACAAGAAATCCAATTAGTACGTCTTTCATATCAGGGACAGAAATTTTATGACTTACCACCAAAAGCCACTTGGAAGATGTTATTTCTTCGAACCCATTCTCGCCCAAGGATCGGTAACTGACCCAAAGCTCGTGATGGAGGTAGACTCGCATTCATAATCACATTTAAACACGCATCAGGACGATGCTGAAGATTACGAAGTCCTTGACGAAGTCTCTTGGGTAGACGGTGTGCCCAAATTTTGGTTGGCTTCAGCATTGAATTCACTTTAGGATTATTTTCAAGGTTCATGGTTTCACTGAGCGTGTTCAGGAGATTCGAATGGTTAACTAGATTTCTAGATCGATTCATCACATTTGGACCCGATGACACCACTGCCTGTTTCACGAGCTTTGGAACTGATGAAAGTCGAGCATACGGGACCCGGAAAAGAGACTGATTCGAGAAAGAACTCGAATGGTGAGATATGAAAGAGAGAATGAAAGAACTAGGCCCAGGCTATATGGGAGGATGCAAGGGGAAAACGGTTTTGAATACATAGAGAAAATGCATCCGAGAATCATACAGACTGACCTTGTCTGACTTCGCCTGTCCATGTGGCCTTTCCTTACATTGAGAAGATGAATTAGCCACAAAGCACTCAGGATCACCAAAGCTTGAAGGGATTTTGGACTCTTTGTCAGGATTGGAAGAATAGTTTCTCAGACTCGGTTCAGACTTAGACTTGGTGGATTGTTCAGGAGTCACGTCTAGAGTCGGATCCTCGGAAATAGGCAAGAAGTCCTTAGAGAGGATGGGCATCACATCGGTGTGTAAAGAGTTCACTTGCTGTACAGGCCCAGGAAGCACAGAATCATCTATAGATGACAAGGAAGCAGTGCTACAGGAATACTTCAGAGTTGGAACCAAACTATGAATGATGGGATGAGCTTGGCAGGCGGAAAAGGAAATCGGTGATGATATCGATTGACGAGAGTGAAGGGTTAACCAACTCATGAGCATCGCTGAAAAGACCAAAACGGAGATTGAAAGGATGGTGGAGTTCAAGAGTGTCGGCTTGGGCGATTGGACAGGTACCCTTAAGCTTCGCAGCTGGAAGATCGAGTTTGGAGATAGTCTGTCAAGATCATGTAGATCCATTACGATTGAGCTTGAGCTCCTCAGTGGGTCGGTGCATCGCAGGATTTGATAGGAGAGATCAGGATGATCAGATTGGAGGGCATCAACGCATTCTTCACTCGATCGATTCATCTCTGCTGAATCCGAATCAACAGAGATGTTGACAGATATGTTGAGATCAGGTCCAGAAGGTAGAACTGATACCAACATGAGCATCGTGAGATTATCACCACCACGACGGCTCAGCAGACAGGGCGGGAGCCAGCGTGGTATCGAAAAGGTCGAAGGATCCACTCGGTATACCACAAGAGCTGGTCGAGCAGGAAGTGAGGCTGTATGCACTTGAGCACGCTCTTCAGAGAGACGAGTGAAGTCGTGAAGGATGATCTCGAGGTCAGAAGTTTGACGCATCAATTGTGAATGTGTAGACTGATAAGTTGAGCCGAGTGAATGTGCAATCACCGTGCGATATTGATCAGACAGACTAATCATAGCTTCGTTATACCTATGCCGATTATTAGACTCCTGTGGAGGATCAGGGGCTTCCAAGGTGGGATGTGCGACAAAGTTCGTACGGAGTTTATTGAGGAAGGTACGGATTTCGCTTTTCGACATTGGCTTCCCAAGTAGATAGACATTCAGCTCATGGGAAGCGGCGATTGAGTCTGACAGAGGAGCCGGAGAAGTGACTTGGGCCATACTGGACGATCGACTAGTGCAGAGAACTTGAGGATCAGATGAAAGGCCGGGCTGATTGCCAGTTGTATCCAAATCTAGAGAATGAATTTCCGACAGACTAGGAGGACCATCGGATTTGTAAAGATTTGGCCAATGGGAGACATGGGGGCTGTCGGAGTTCCGATTCGGGGATCTTTCGTAGAGCATGCCTCCAAGCTCACTAGCTGTTTGATCGTAAAGGGTGAAACTCTCATGCTCCTGAAAGGGGTCAGCAACTGAACGGCTTTCAGAAGCAGGAGGCCAGGCTGGAGTAGATGGATCGGAGAGTTTGTTGTCAGTTGGATCTGGATTATGAGTTGGATCGGGAAATGTATATGGCAAACAGAGAGTAGCGAGACTGTCTGAAGTTGTATCAGATCCATCTTGAGAAGACTCTGTAAATCGACTGATAAAGGAAGATGAAGCTGAATGTTCGAGATCAAAGAGCTTAGAATGATCTTCCTCGCCATTAACTGACGATCGATTATCGGAAGTCTCTGAGCCATGAGTGGACAAAACTTGTTGTGGGATCATAGGAGATCTGGGCGAAGGCGATCGGAAATGCTCCCAGTCTTGATCTAAATCTTCGCTGTTCACACTGCTCACAGTACCATCCGCCTCGTATTCGATATCAGGTTGAATTATCTCGTAATTCGAATTCATAAGTGACTCTGATTCTGATTGAGATTCCCAAGGAGATTGAGGGCTAGATGGCTCTGAGTGATGGTCGATTGAATCATTGTCTGAAGTAGACATTGTTTAAGGGGAGCTTGAAGACTGATGAAGCCCAATGTCAATACTTCCGAAAGGTCATCGAATGATACCTAGATAAAGAAATGAACTGACTTGATTGAATTGGACCTCCGGAAGGAACAAAGGAAGACCCACTGTGAGGTTTCAAATATAGGATGAATGGTAAGTTTTAATAGAATTCGCTATCCAAGCACTCGGAGAATGGAAGTGAATTGTGAAGGATGAGAGTTGAGGTTAAATGGAACAACAAGAACAATTGTAGCTGATAGCCTGATCATCAATGACAAATATCACTCAGGAGAATGATTATGTAACTCTCTCATCTCGGTAACTTTACTACTCTGTGCATGTAAACATATGTAACATGTCATACATACATGTCAAATATGTAACATGAGACTCAGAGTCAGCAACAAAGTATCCATTCATCAGATTAAAAGTACTCCTCTCAATAAATACTCAAGCTTTCATCAGTTTTCGTCAACTATCTATACAATTCTTTCCAACCTATATCAAAAAGATCAATCCTCACCACAAAAGCCATCATAGCAAATTCAGATGAAATAACATTATATGTATGCTATGTAGATGATATATGAAAATTTCAAACTCCAATTTACTGTTAATCCCATGAACAAGATAAGTGAGAATGATTTGAAGAGGTTGATCAATTTTATTTTGATTAGAATCAGACTGAGGGAAATAAAAATAATTAAGATTGGGATAAGGTTTGAATGATTTTAAGGGTTAGGTGGTAACTGTTTCAATATTGCATGTTGCTCCATTTTGAAAAAGAAAAAGTGGAACTTAAGAGCATCCACAACAGTCCACCTAATGTGGGGGCTCTTGCTCATTTAGGGGGTTGAAATACAAAAAAGCTCAACAGCAGTCCTCGCAAAGTACAGTCTGGGACATTGAGAGCCCATAAATTTTGATCAAGAGTCTCTAGATCTGGGAGGTCTGTAGGGGCTCTCAACATCACGTGCAACCACCAGAAATACACAACACACTGTCTCAACAGTTTGACTCCAATTGTGTCAATGCCAGAGCTATATTTTGCCACCCCTTCCTTTCCACCGGTTTTGTGGTGTACAAAACCGCCGAGTGGAAAATTGTATATTCTGGGGGGTCATATGCGATTTCCCACCTTTTTTCCATTTTTTCTTGTGAGTGGAAAACAAAAGGTGGAAAAACTAGAGTGGAAAATTGCATCCTGAGCCCGGAAATATCAAGTTTTTCACTCAGATTATTCCTACCAGATAATGTGTGTAAAAATATTTGTGTGTAAAATTCCATATGAGCCACCTCAGATAGCATTTTACATCCATTTGTTTCCATTGATGTGGAAAATTACACCCTCCTTTTACACTCAAAGGGGAAAGCACAATGTGATATTGAAATTTCATACTTGAGATGCATCCTATGGCTTGTCAAACACCTTCAATTATATCATTATACCCAATGATTGACCGGCCCAAAAGATACAATTCACCTTTTTGAACCACTCATCAGACACCTTTAATTACCACGTCATACCTGATGATTGCCCATTCCAAATAAATGCACTTTGAGCTGCAATTGTAAACCTTTATAGACAAAAAAACTATCTTTTAGAGAATTTTTGCTCCTCTTCAAAAGTTGTGTTGCTTTGGTTTCTGGAAAACATGATTTGACAGGTTCAAACAGATGTAGAGAGACTAAAATCCGAAGAGAAGGAAATAATCACAAAAAAGAAGGTATGGAAATGACAAAGGAGAAAACAGAGCAACAATTTGATTCACTAGTTGAAAAAATGAGAAAACAAATTTAGAAAAGACAAGAACAAGAACATCCTACTCATCTCTTACATTTTGACTTCCTCACATCACCTTCTTCCATTACCTCTTGGATTATCACTACATCAGTGTTTTGAAGAGCTTTATCCTCAACAATTTCCCACCCTTTCCAACCTTCTTTTTTGGTTACTGCTTTTGCACAAACAACATGTAAGATGTGAGCTGTGCCTTAAGTGATGGTGAGTATGTAATTACTCAACTTTTGGAGATTTTGGTTTCAACATTGAAGTGTCATCTTCTGCAAGAACCACTGGTGGCAAGAACATCTTTTGAATCTGCCAAAACTGCCCTTTTGTTGACCTTATGCCTCTTGGATGGTGCTGACCCATCAATGTCCGCTGTTGGATCAACTTCAGTTTCTGAAATCAAAACCTGTTGATTCACCTTCACCCTCTTATCTACCTTAACATCCTTTGCTTGGTTGTTTACCCGCGCCGGGTGCTTTCATTACCTTGATAATCCGAGGTGGGTGGATGGGTGAATTGAATCATCTCCAGTTGGCGATGGTCGTCCCGGAAAGACCTCCCGTAACTTCTGATATGACTTGGAAAGGACTCATTCAACCTCGTGACAGCTCATAATATCAAACTTTGTTGATGGACCAACCTTTGAAACTTTACTTGTTGAAGTGAGCACACACCCTTTTGTACTTGGATGGTCTGGCCCATCAAAGACTGTATACAGAGTACGTTGTTAGCCCTGTGGCTGTTATTTTAGGGAAATGTGGCTGACTGAACCCGTGCTGTGTACATATCATGAATGAGGCTTGAAACGGATCCGCGACAGAAACATTCGTCGTTGAATTGCGTACAAGGCTGCTTTGGTAAAAATGTTACGTTGGTAAGCCGCTGGCTTTTCATAACCAGACTGTTTCTTTTCACTTCAGCAAGACCTTTCAGCCGCTCTTCAGCTTGTACAACAGGTTGATATCTTGTTCTGATAAATATGTCTCGGAAGCTCTTGGTTCACATCTTTCATGTTTTTCTCGTTGTGCTGCTCGTCGCAGACCTCGGGTCTCATATCTTCGCAGCTGCTGATGCTATAGAATGCACCTACGGTTGGACTGCACCGACCCCCGGGAAACCATGGTGTTAGTCAAACATTTCGCTTCAGTCTGCTGTTTTGTTTTCTTCAAAGTCTTTCCAAGATCTTTGATTGCCAGGGACACTCTGAACTGACCCAACACTTTGAACATCCTGTCAAAAAAAATATGCACACAGTCTGTGACGTACAAGTGAAGGGTAAACCCCCCATATCCCATGCTTGCAAATGGTGTAGAAGGAATGATAAGCTATTACCTTGTAGGAGAAAAATTTCTCGTTTTCAATCAATGGGCAATGTGGAGGGACCACTCACTTTTTGGTTCGACGGCTCATCACACAGCTGCTAGGGACTGCGTCGACCGAAACGGAATTTCAATGAACGGGGGTCAGCTGTGGGCTTGTGACCTCGCACTCCGGGTCGACCCAACCCCTCGCAAAGACCACAGACAATTCCGTTAGTCATTTTATTTACAACTTTCACCTGCAACAAAATTCACACACCAGAATACGAGTTAATGATGTACTGATTTTGAAAACCAAAGTTTGCGATCAAGCTGCATCGGTGGGCCCGTACTTTTGCTTGACTCGCAATGAGAACCTACGTAAGTATGATTTTTAAGACTTGTTAGCAACCAAGCATATCCTATTTACTCATCACTAACCAGCGCTTTTTACGTATGTTTCAAACTCGAAATGTTTGCTATGTCATCTAGAATGTCCTCGAGACAAGTGTTCAAAGTAACATGTTACATCCATCACTATCTCGATTTTGCATGCAGTTGAACGTGGTACATAGTTACCTGTCCATGATGGTCTTGCTTGAATCAATGGCTAAAGAAATTCTCCTGATTCTTGATTATTCAAACCTTTAAAATTGTTCATAGCATCACCTCGGCACACGACAAAAGTCCATACAAACATACTCAATCAGCCAAAATTTGGTAGCATTTGATGTGGGAATTTTCCAACGGCAGATTCATTATAACAACCGTCAACATTTGTTCTCTCTCCAACTATCTATGTGTAGATTTCTTTCTTCAAAGCATGATCCATCAAGTCCTCGCCACAAAAGGCATCTTATCCAGTGCAGATGAAACGGTGTATGTAGGCTGATTGGGACAATCAAGTTAAACAATAGTATCCTTCAAAACGTTACCATAAATGGCATATGATAATTCAGAGAGAAAATCACTACGGATCTCATGAGCAGGATATGCACAAATAAAAAATTCAAAAAATAAAGGCCTTCAGACCATGTCATCAGATCTTGTGATTACTAGACTTGTGAGGGTGGGTTACTCTTTTGAGTACTCAAGGCTCACTAATTGGGCAAGGTGGGTCTTATAATTCAAGTAATTATGATTATATTTCAAATATAAAAGTAGTTACAAAGAATTATAAACAAAGGAAAGGGATGAGAAATGGACAATAATGAAATGTTTATAAAGTGTGAAGGGTGGATCCTAGCCCTTCCTTTAATCTTCAAGTGACAGATTAGAGAGTGGGATGAAGTTCACTAGACTAGTTGTTCTATGGTCACTAACATTGGGTTGTTCTTATGGTCACCAACCTGGGTTGTTCTATGGTCACCAACCTTGGGTTGTTATATGGTCACCAACCTATTAGAGTTCTACTTGGGGATAGTAGAGGATCCAGGGAAGAGTGAAGAGTATTACTTACTTTTAATCAAGGAACTGATTTAAAGTAATGAAGATATCACTAGTCTTATATTTATAAGACTCTTGATGTTACTTCAGTAGAACTTTAAGTGTTCTTAAAAGTAGTATGTAATAAAGCTTGGGGGGTAATCTCTCAAGGCTGGGAGAGGAGGAGTTTATATACTCTCCTCTCCAAACCTAACTGTGGTGAGATTTGTTTACATCCCTACTTTGGTTTAGGGTTTGATCATTATTATTATTTGGGATTAGTACTAATAATACTTAATTACATATACATGTTATGTGTGATATGTAATATAAGCTTTTTTAACTCTTGACACTGAGTTATGAGGTGTAATTGATGTTTGCTTACATATTATTACTTTTGCTAAAAAGTTTGGCCCGATTGAGAAAAAATAAAACAGAATGTAGACCCAGAATCCGCCACAGCAGTCACAACGCAGCAGAGAGAAAATTTTTGGGGTGCTGTGGGCTGTGGTGTGAGCACCCATCCATCCCATCGATTTCCCAGCTGCCGCCAAAAAAATTCATATTCTCCAAATCCCGGTCAATCACTTTGTTTTCCTCATTAACAAGCTTGATTGTCTAGAAAGGATGAACTGTTGTTAGAGAAGATTGTCATTGTACATGTAGGAAGTAGATCAATGAATTCTAGATAAAATTGGTGTAAAAATTGAAATCCTTTCAATCTTCTTCATAGATCACGGGCAAATCGATCAATTTTGATCTTGATGAAAAAAATGAGTCTCTAGATTACATAAGAGAGCTGAGATTGTCCACAATCTCTTCCATAGGAACAAAGGATGGGGGATTAGTTTTTACCGATCAAAAGCAGTTGATGTTTGGATTTGAATGTCTTCAAGAAAACAGAGATTGATCTCGTTCATAGACCATCAATCATAGGATTGTCTTGTGAGTCATAGGCAAATCGATTGAGAATTGACTGGTTTTGATATTGTTCATAACCAGTCAATGATATTGATGATCTCGATCACCTTGAAAACTGGCACACTTCATCTTTCATAGAATGTTCAATCTCAGACTTTTGTTATGCAGCGGAGCTCGGCACTGGATAGTTTGAAGATATGTAAGATACATCTCATTCAACTTGCCCTTTTTTTGGATGAGCACAGTAGTTGTGAGCTCCATAAAAGCTTCAACAACATTCCTTAATTTCATTTTTTAAAAAATGCTCGTTATCAACATAAGAGGAATCATGTAAAACCTTTCACACAACAGATGATCCGTTCGACCGGATTTGACCTAGTGACTAAAACTTATGATCTCCAAACACCAAAGTACAGCACATTGACTCCAAACTTGATAGTGTTCAACTCGGGACGGTATGGTGGTAAGTATGGGAGAAGGATACCTAGAGATTATATTGGGGATAATCAGTAAGTTGAATGAATTGCTCCGAAGAGAGAATTGGGAGGAATTGAAGTGATAAAGTGTACCTTTTTTCTTACAGAGATCATCAATTGATTGTCCACCATGGATGCACACGTTTCCAGGATGCGAGAAGCAGTGAGTGTCGTAGTTGAATTTAGTGAAAAAAAGGAAGCGATCGACCGGGATTTGGAGAATATGAATTTTTTTGGCGGCAGCTGGGAAATTGATGGGATGGATGGGTGCTCACACCACAGCCCACAGCACCCCAAAAATTTTCTCTCTGCTGCGTTGTGACTGCTGCGGCGGATTCTGGGTCTACATTCTGTTTTATTTTTTCTCGATCGGGCCAAACTTTTTAGCAAAAGTAATACATATCATTTCAAATGTATATGTATATGTAATTAAGATGTATATATGATTTATTACAAGTTACATATGTTTTGTAAGCTTTATGTACATGTAATTAGTTGTTTGAAGGTGTTTATATATGTTACAAGTTAGTCTTTGGGTACATACATATGTACCCAGGGCTGACATTCCCCACCCTCAAAGGAGGTCATTACTTCTTTTCAGAAGGTTTATGAGCTCTTCTTTGGGCTCTGAATTCTCGCAAGGTTGTTTTGTTATTTGGCACTTTATCTGCTGGTAGCCATTCATCTTCATCTGCACTCCTATTCTTGTATCTTACAAGATAAAGTGTAGCAGATTTACCGTTAACTTGTGTGTCTCTTTGTTTTATTATGTGTGAGAAAATCTTTTCTCCATCAGTTTCAAACCTGATAGGAGTTTTCTTAGGTATTTCTCTGTCAGGAAATTTGCTCTTGTCAGAAGCGTGAAACTTCTTTATTAATGAGATTGGAAATACTGGATGTTTTCTCCCAAATTCCTCTGTCAATGCTACTTCTACTGCATTGCTCCCATGGAATTTTAGTATTACAAATGGTCCAACAAATTGGTCTTGAAGTTTCTTAGGTCCTTGAAGATTGTTAAAGTTTGTAGTGGATAGTAGTACTTGTTCACCTATTACAAACTTAGGTTCTTTATGAGTCTTATTCCATCTTTCTTGATTATACGTCACAGAATCTTCAATACATTGAGCTGCTCGAGCTCTTGCTTTACCAAGCATATCAAAGAAACTTAAGGACGTCAGATGAAATTCAACATTTTTATTTTTTATCTGGTCTTTTGGTAATCTAGGAAAATAGCCTCTTTCTACTTCAAAAGGTTTCTTTCCCGTTGTGCTATGTATGCTGCTATTATATGCTAATTCTAAAGCTGGCAGTAATGTATGCCAATCATGTGTATGTCCATCTTTATCTGTGTAACAAAGTCCTTCAGTGCAATACCTTCTGATTATTTCAGTTAAAGTACTAATGTTTCTTCCACTGAGACCATCAGTCTGTGGATGATAAGCAGTGGAAAGAGCCAATGTTGTTCCAATAAGTGTATGTAGACTTTTCCAAAGTTCAGAAGTAAACTTTGGATCTCTGTCACTGATGATTATTCGTGGTAATCCTACGTCACTTATTATTCTTTCCCAGAATAATAACGCAATATCCATTGCTGTTGCTTCTTTGTAGCATGGTAAGAACCTTGTCCTTTTTGAAAATCTGTCTACAATGACTAGTACACAGTTGTAATTGTTATTTAATGATGGCGGAAGACCTGTAACAAAATCCATGTTAATGACTTCCCAAGCATACGTTGGTTCTTCTATTCTTTGAAGTAAACCAAATCTTTTTCCTGTGGCTTTATTTGCTTTCTGGCATCTTTCACAAGTTTTCACGTATTCTTCAACATCTTGTCTCCAATTTGGCCACCAGGCTGTGCTTTTGATCCTATCTACTGTCCGGTCTTTGTTATGAGCGCTTTACCTTATGCTTATACTTACATATGCTTGTACTGAGTACAACTCTAGTTAGTAGTCTGGAGGATTAGACTCTTCTAATCCTCACGTAGCAATCTATCTACATTACCAGAGGACCTTTGCTCTCATCTCTTGCACCTCTACGCATCAGGGTCCTATCATATTGCTACGTCGTTAAACACTCGAGGTCCAAGGGAACCACAGAAGAAAGAAGAAAACTCAAAGAAAAGAAATTACAAAATAAAAGAAAGAAGTTCTAAAGAAGGAAAAGAAAAAAAAGAAAAGAACGAAATCTAATTAAAGCAACACTTTCAATCATACAAGAAGAACTTAGAGGAACACCACCAGATCTTCAAACCTTATCAATACCACCAGAAAGCAACTGAATTTAAATCATTGAAGCTCACAGATCTTACTATATATTCCCAAACCTTATTATCTCCGCAAAACGCAACCACCACGCCGGACTTTAAATTACCCGATAGTCCACCCTCAGGACAAGAAGAAACATTCGAAGACGCAGAGGGTACAGACATGTCGGAAATCAATCTTCAGGACTTAATGAACAAGTTTGAGGAACTGAATGCGAAGCTTAACGAAGAGAGTCGATTGAGACAAGAAGCTGAAAGGAAATGGGTGGAGTTACAGAAGAGTATTGATCAGAATAATATGAATCAGTTGGGTCAGCAATCGTCACCGATGGAGACTCATCAATCAGCTCAAACTGCTCCAAGTGCACCAACCCCTTCGGTAAATCCTGTCACCCATATCAAACCGCCTAAGATTGCGACACCAAACAAGTTT